AGCTCAAGGATGACATAGCAGGAACCACCCAGTCAAACCTCAACATAAACTAGACAAACTAAGAACACAGGCCTGGGAAATCTTTTGCCCAAGTCTCAAGACATTTCTAATCCTCTGCTTTTATTGCCTGTCAAATAGGAAACACTTTTCTTGATGTCCGAAGAAGGACTTGGGGGTGCTGGTCCATAAGAAAATGAACATGAGCAGTGTGCACCTGCAGCCCAGAAAGCCAACCGTATCCTGGGCTGCATCAAAAGGAGTGTGACCAGCAGGTCAAAGGAGGTGATCCTGCCCCTCTACTCTGCTCTCATAAGACCTCACTTGGTGTATTGTGTGCAGTTCTGGTGTCCTCAACATAAAAAGGACATGGATCTGTTGGAACAAGTCCAGAGGAGGGCCATGAGGATGATCAGGGGACTGGAGTACCTCCCATATGAAGACAGGCTGGGAAACCTGGGGCTGTTCAGCCTGGAGAAGAGAAGGCTGCGTGAAGACCTCATAGCAGCCTTCCAGTATCTGAAGGGGGTCTATAGGGATGCTAGGGATGAACTCTTCATTAGGAACAGTAATGACAGCACAAGGAGTAATGGGTTAAAACTTAAACAAGGGAAGCTTAGACTGGATATAAGGAAGAAATTCTTTACTGTTACGGTGGTGAGGCACTGGTATGGGTTGCCCAAGGAGGTTGTGAATGCTCCATCCCTGGCAGTGTTCAAGGCCAGGCTGAATGAAGCCTTGGGTGAGATGATTTAGTGTAGGGTGTCCCTACCCATGGCAGGGCGGTTGGAACTAGATTATCTTCAGGTCCTTTCCAACCCTAACTGTTCTATGGTTCTATGATTCTGTGTGGTAATGCACACCCACAGAGTGGGTCTTTCAGCAGAAACCACCTCCTGCACCACACTGTTCTAAAGTTCAGCTCCTTTGCACTTAAGTCATAAGAAGAATGGGGATAGGAAGGACTTCTGGAAGCCCCTTCCTGCCCTGTTCAGTTGCTCAGAGCCTTGTTCAACTATCCCAAAGGCTGGAGACCCTACAGCCTCCCCCAGTAACTTCTTTCCGTGCTTAAGAGCTCTCAGGGTGAAGAACGTACATTCTTACAGGAACTTCTCCCTGATGACCTCTTGGGCTGCCGGTGGTAGCTACCTCTCTGCCTCTCACCGTGCACCTCGGAGCCTGCCTCCTCCAGTTTCTCTACAAAGCCTTCCACAGGCTACACAGGCCTTCTGTGGTGCAAAACAAAGGGATTTTCTGAACATGTTTTAGTCAGTTTGTTTGCACTCTGCAAGATGGAAACAGCCTCTCTCTTGCCTAGTTACAGTCTTTAAAAGGAACGGTTAGCGACTATCCTTTTCCAGTCAGAAACTTGCCTCCTTTCCCACCAAGACTTCATCACAACCTGAAGCTGAGTCAGGAGTGGAGTCTGGTTCTCTCTACAACCCAACAACCATGCACAAAACCATTTCATTTACTCTTTAAACCCGAGCACCCCATCCAGCACTGACCCTCCTCCAGGGCCGGACGGAGATTTAAGCATAGGCTCAAACGTCGACCCTGAATAGAAAAGGCGCCTGGTGTGGGGACAAACGCCTCCTCCATAACCCCAGCACAGACTGAAACCTCCTCTTCAGTCCCGGGCGCAAAGCCTCGGCGGCTCGCCCCCCACAGACCAAGAGCCGGCCGCCTTCCCCCCGCCTCTGCCCAGCAGGACCGGACCCCCCCACTCCCGAGATGGCTCCGGCCCGGCCCCGGGGGCTGGCATGGCCCGAGTGGGGCAGGGGCGGCCGCGCCGAGGGCGAAAGAGGGGGCCCAGCTGCAAAGCCCGAGGCGATTCGCGAAGCTGGGGAACCCGGCGGGACGGCGGGGGTCGCGGCTCACCGTGCGGCAGCGTTTCCTGCAGCAGCAGCAGCAGGCTGAGGAGCACCCACAGCCGCATGGCGGGACCGGCCGGAGCGGCGCTTGCCCTCGTGGCGCCTCGACGGACCGCGGCGCGGGGAGGAGCCGGCCGGGGCAGGGACAGGGACTGGGGCTGGGGCTGGGCAGGGCGTGTCGCGGCTGCACTGCCCCAGGGCGCGCTCACCGCCTAGCGCTGCTCGGCTGAGGGAGGGAAGAGCCGCGACGCCGCGGCAGCGGGCCCAGCTCCTCGCGGGTCGGGGCACCTGCTGCCGCGTTTCACCGGTCACTCCTGGGCTCCTCCTGTCAGCGGCCTCCCTCTCTGCTGCAGCTCCTGACCAGGCAGCTGAGAGCAATGACACGAGCCCGCCATCAGGCCCAGCGCACTCACACGGGGCTGCCTCCCAAACAATCATGAGCCCAGGGACAGCTGTGCAGGTTTAGTGCTGGAATTAGCTTGTCGGTGGCAGCTGCCCTTTGCTATACTTAGCCTTGCACAGGTGGAAGCTCTTTGGGCCTGTAGCTGGGTCTGCAGAGGGGAGTGATAAGTTATATGGCACTTAGTTGAGCCTATGGGTGGACAGGAGGCACACGTCATTGCCGGCCTAAGACAGCAAAAGTACAGTCAAACTATTGCAGTCATGCTAGCCTGCCACAGCAAAGAGATCCCCGGGTGCTTTCTCAGGAAAAATGAAAAACCAGAGGAAGTAGCTATGCATTGGTATTTAGGGCTCCATAATCCATGACAGAGTCTTCATGTACAACTGACTGTGTGCAGGTATCCCTTCATTGCTAAGAGATGAACATGTCAAATTTGACAGTTGCTGGGAGTGTGTTTACACCCACACTGAGCTCTCAAAAGCTGTTTATTGAAATCTGAGGGTTTCCTTGGAGAAGGGCTGGGAAAATGTGACTGGAGGGACCTCAAAGGTAGATGCACAGCAGGATGAAGACACTGGACTGAGAGGAGGAAAAATAATGGCTGACAAGTCACAGGCACATCCTGTAGTAGGCAAGACCACAGTTTGGTGCAGGTGAAGTATCTGGGGAACGGTGCCCCTGGCCACAGTTCCAGGGCCAGAGTAGATGTAAGAAGAGCAGAGCATTTACAGATCTTAAAGGAAGTCTGGGCTTTAGCTGCATCCATAATAAAGAAAGAATTAATAGAAGGCATATACACAATGCTCTCTTATCCTCATAAGTACATACACATGTGGAGTTCCAGACCTGCTTGACTGAGCCTGCTCCAAGACTTCACCCTGGGGTACCTGGTTAGCAGTAAAAGAGCTAGCAGGGCCCAGGTGTGGAGTAAAATGATGAAATTTCATGGTCTCTTTTTCATTCTACAGTTCTATTACAATTCTCAGGGGTTTTATGCAGTGACCTGACTACACATCAGCATAACCTGAACATGTCATCAGTTACCTGTAACACATTAAGCAAAATTATATTTTTGTTGCTACAAGGTATTTTAAAAGTCTTTCCCACTTTAAACTGTTAGAATACCACCAAGTTTTATGTTCTGAAAAGAGTGGGGTTTTGTCTGTCATCTGCAAAACTGCTAGTTAAAATTCTTATGTGCCTTCCTGGGTCAAATTTCCCTTTTCCTTTCATACACATGGTAGGTCAATGATCTAATGATGACTGAGCTCCAAGTGTTAGTGTATTTTGGAAAACATGGTAATAGCACTTTGAAATAACACTCAGGCTGCACTAATTTTAAGAAACGTTTAAGCTGGCAACCTTTTTTCCTGTATAGATGTGTATAATGAAGAAATAAAGTGATTTTTATGATTTTTAAGTTTCTTAGTTTTAAATGGGTGTGCATAAAAAAAAGTTACATCTTCATTTATAGTCACATCAGAAGAACTAATGTAAACCTTCTTTTAGTGACCCTAGCTCTCAACATGAGTAAACTGATATATTAAATACATCTTTTCAGCCCAGTGCTTTAAATGTGATACTCGCAGAATGACTTGTTTTCATTTAAATCAGTGGCCATATTACCACTGCTTCATAGGACCCTGATTTTCAAGGTCAGTCTTGGTAAATCGTGTGTACAATCATTAATCATTTGAAATCTTTGTAAGGAATTACATAGAAGTACAGTATACTCATAGAATCACAGAATAGTTAGGGTTGGAAAGGACCTTAAGATCATCTAGTTCTGTGGAGACCATTCTCACAGGATAATGGATAATTGGTACATAAACTCTGAATAATCCTGAAAGATACAGCAAGGCCGTGAGAGTCCCGAGGAAGCTTAAGCAAGCAAGACAAGAAGCAGCTGTAATTCACTGAGTTATGAGAACTGTGGACTGCTGGCAAGCTTTCGAGGTCAAGTTCTCACACCTGTGCTTAACCAATTATGTTTTAGTCGCTAAGGGTCTTCAAGACATGTATCTAATCATAATATGCCAAATAACTGTAAGTGCCTGTAAGAAATAGTATATAAGGAGTTAAAGCTTTGTAATAAATCGGCACTTGCTGATCACATTGATCGTTCCTGCGTTGTCCGTGACTCCCGCGTCAACATAGTTCTAGTTCATGCTTTTGTTCTCCCGATATAACCACACTACTGTTCAAAGTTGAGGGAGTTATTTTCTTTTTCTTTCCCTCCCTTCCCCCCAGAAAAGAGAAAAAAGAGACAACAGGGTTTTTTATCCATCCAACTTTGAGGCTAGATGCTGCCAGGGCAAGGCTTGGTGCTTCAGAACGTTGAGCACCATGAATGCTGAGAGCTGTTCACTCCCTCTGGAAATCAAACCTGTCATCAGCTCTGGTTTGGCACCATAAGACACAGTGCCCAAATCAAAGGGTGTTATTCTCTATTTCAGTGTCTTCCTGAGGTCTTGAAAGCAAGTATGAAACAAACACTGCTACTATCCCCATCTCTGGACTACTGCAAAAATAAGACTTAAACATGAAACATGGTTGTTTTTTTTCCCTCTGTAAAATCAGACAAGTTATCATGTTTTTTATTTTAAATGATTTATGGTTTGTATGATGTCATGATGAGATAATTGACATACTAATGATAATTTTAGTGTTTACTAAAACTACAGTGGTAACAGGGGTTACAGAGAGAATTAGGTTACAGGATGAAGTACAAGTAATATTCAGCTTTATTTAAAAAAAATATGGAACAAATGCACAATCATTGTCCCATGAAGCACATTTTACAGTAAATGAAGAGCAATGTAATTTCCATCAGAATTTGGAACAAAGGTAACTAAAAATATCAGTGATTAAAACTGTATTGTGAAAGTGAAAAAACAAGCACCATATTCTTAAATATAAGCATTTTTACATTCATAAAAATTCAAGACTTTTCATTTTGGTAGAGCACTTTGATGAAATATGAATTTGTACCTTAAGTTGCATCATAATCATTCTATCTACATTTCATATGCTCAGCAGATATAATACAGAAATAATCACTACAATGTACATATGAACAAAGAGAAAAGCTAAAATGGATATGAGCACTACTGTTCTTTAAAATATAATTACTCTTAAAGATATGTAACACATTTCATGCTTTACTTTCTGGTAACACAAAAGAAAAATATCCCTCCTGAACATTCAAATCCTTTTATCCATTGTCCTGACTCCAACTAAACGTGGTAAAGCAGGAGTTTACTTGGCACCAGGCTCAATGAAAACATACAAACAGAACTTGTCCAAATGACAATAAAAATAAAGATATTTATACATATAGTTTTTAGTAATGCATGTCTATGCACAGAAACCTTCAACTTAGCTAAAGTTTTCAAAATTTCTAAAACTCGAATGCAAAACTTGTCAGGAGATGGTAAAGGCATTATAGTTAGCTTTTGAAAGGTGCAGCTACTAAAAATGCAGAGGTTCTCAAAACATATACCAGAAAGATATACTAAAGGCACAGGTAATTAAAAACAAAATACAAGTATCCTACATTATATGAAATTCCACTTACTTTATTGTATTTGTCTAACACTGAGTAATCTCAGTGCTTTAAATGAGCACACTGCAACTGGTACAGACTTCCTGGCAAGTCTAGAAAGAATTAGGACCTGAGAGCATTAAAAGGTGCTGTTAGTTTTTCTCTGTAATCAAATAACGTGTGCCAGCTGTCATGTGAATTAAATTCCTACTGTACAAAATGCACCCCCATATCAAAGGCATCACATCTGATTAAAACAATTGCACAGTCCCGCACAGATTTCTTGCACTGTCACAAATTTCACCCAGGTTGTTCTGCTTTTGGTATCTCAGGATGCTTATGGCACATTTCATATTGGCACTTATTAAAACATCCATGAAAACAGTATACCTTTCATTTCTTAAATATATATATATAAAAATATCTGCATCAATTTTAGGGGGAAGGTGGCTAGATTTGTATATTTATGATCTAATAAAATATAGAATATATATTTAAACTTTACCATGTTTTGATTCTAAATTCATTGTATCATTTTAAGTTTGTGGGTGGCATAGTTAAATTCATATGTAAGTACATAAGTTACTCTATATCACTACAATTGACATTTATTACTGATAGCACTCTAACAGCAGGTAATATAAAGGGCTTCAACACATTGTGACATAAACATGATACACAGATTTCAGGAATCTAACCAGCATTTGTTGTGAAGCAAAAACATACTATTACTAACAAAATGGGTTTATCCAGGATAAAAGACAATGACATCTAAGGTACCTTATAAAATTTCCTATTGCAGGATTTGGACTGGAATACTACAAGAAGATTGCTTCAGTTAACATGAACTATACAGAAATGTTTTATAACTCTTATCCCTCAGAACAAAAAAGATTTATTTGTTCTCCCTTAAATATGCTTTGGCTTACTTTCTTAAATCCAACTGGATAAGAATAATTCATCTATCTAAAGTCACATCCAGAATGTACCAATGCAAGTAATGTTTTTGGAGGATTTTTTCTACAAAGAAACAAAACCCCAATAAGCTACCGCCAATAATAGATACTTTGAATTAATACATACCATTGTTATCTGTACAGAACAATTTACAATATCAACAACCATGTTAAAAAATAACAATCATTTAATTCCACTGAACTCATGCTTTCAGCTCCTCTCTCTGAAAATACACATACAGTAAATGCAAGAACACAATCAGGATTTGTTTCATACACAGCTCCTGTGTAAGGACTACCATGCCATGTCCATTGCTCCTGCAAAATACCACTAAAGCATCTGGAATTTCAAGACTGCACATACAAATATAGTCCAAAATTAGCATAAATATCTGATTTCTGGCTTGTCGTGTTCTTACTCAGCCACTGCCTAATAATGACTTTAGCTATACACAAATATAAATCAGCTGTGAACAGTTGAAGCATCTGAAATACCCCATGATTTCCTTTTATATCTCAGTAGTTAGGTGGATAGTTCCTGTGCTGCAGCTGCTCCCATCTCCCTTAACAACATTTGTACAGAACACCTTCTTTTATTTTCATATAATTAATTTCTCTAAGCAGGGGGAGAAATATTCATACAGATGATATGGGAAACTGTCAATACACAAAGTGCTGACACATCCATTAGCTAAATAAGCTAGAAAATGTATTTTTTGTAATTATTTCCAAAAGTCTTAGCTAATAGTCAGAAGTGTATTATATTGACAGAATCCCTTCAAAGGAAAATTCCAGTGCAGCACAGAAGTTATTTTAACCAGTACATCAAAATAACTATGGGATAATATCAGACAGATGTGAACACATAGACAGGCATGCAAACATATATTCTATATGTTGGGCTTGGGTACGAATGGGGTCTTACTTTCACGTCACAGAACAGCAGCAGTTTGCATCTTGGGAGCCTGGCTTGCCTGCTCTGCAACATCAGCAACCATAGGAAAAAGGAAGGCTCTGCCTCCCACATGCTGAGATGTGCAAGAGATTTTAAAAGAGCTGTTTTCCACTGTAGGCTTCTAAAGAAATCATGAAAAAGCTTTACCTGAGCACTCACTTCCACAGCAACAGCATATTTTTTACAGCTGAGGATTTGGAGAGCATGGGCAAGACAAGTTAAGAATGTCCTCCAGAAGTATAAGAACTGAAGAGGCCATGCTCAACAGAGTTGTAGCTGATGAGGAAAAGCATCAGCTTCTCTATTTCAGATACTTATTGGATTAAAACCAACAGAACATACATTCATTTAATTAACTTTCTGGTTACTTATTTATAAAACCTTTGTTTTGACATATCTAAGAATTACTACATTGGGTTCCTTTCAAGAGCCTGGAAAGTCTTACATTTCTACTATTTCAAACAAAAACATACAGTTCTTCTGTCATTTTTTGCATAAAAGTGGGTCCCAGTTGAGAAGTAAAATTAAAACAGCAGATCCAACTGACATAGACAGCTCTTTCAGTTACTGAATAAAGGTATTGAAAGTTATCAATATCTCTACAAACTGCCCTGAGAATTCCTGTCCTTTCCCATCAACTGAATATTTACTTGGCATATCATCTATTTTTATTAGTCAAATGTGAGATTTGAGTCTTTCCTTAATGGCATTTGTAAAGCAATAACCAGTCGTGAAAAGAAGCGGCTGTAATTTGTTATCAGTTCTGGATAGATCAGGATGTATTAGAAAGCAGTATCCCATTGCCACCTACCCTATAGTTTTTCCTCATCCACTGAGCCCCTTCCGTTTCTGGGGACCACCAACAACAACGGACAACAGCAGCTGCAGTTAGAGGATGTATACGCTGGGGACTCAGTTACAATGCCGCTTAAAATTTTCCGATTGCTACTCCTAATGCCGTGTAGCCAGTAGAGGTCACTCGTGCAACAGCACACGTCTATCCACTGGCTGCTGTCAGCACTGCACGACCCTTCTCTCCCAGTACAAGCTGAGAAAGAAGGCATCAGGCTGAAAACCTCCTGCTCCAAGGTGAGATACCAGCCTCGGTACCCCACCTGGTTTTCTGTCTGCAGGGGTTTCTGTCAAGAAGCCTTCTGCCATTCAGCGTTTAGGCACGCTAGTGTTTTACAACAGAAGTTGTTCTAATATTAAAAAGTGTTAATCTACTGCTGTGAAAAAGGAGAAATACAGAAACAGCTTAACTATTTCCTTTTCTTTTTTTTTTTTTGTGAAATTCCAGCTATTATAAAAAAGTACTTTTCACTGTCAGCCAACATAGCTCTCATGGCATCTAAAGTTTTTATTGCTAACAATAGAGATTAACACCAATGATGAGCACTGGCACCAGATGGCAACTCTCCATGAGAAAGCCCAAGACAGGTCATACTTCAAGAAGTAATTTTTATAAATACATTCTTGCAAAATAACATCATATTGTGGAAACCTTCACTGGACTTGAGACTACTACTGGCTGAGAAAGTGTTAAAATGCCTGCGTGCCTTTGATAGGTAACATAACTTATGTTGAAAGAACAGTTTCATTTTCCCCAGCTTTAAAATCATTTTTCACCCAGCTGCAATAATTTGATTCTTTACATAAATTAGCATTTGGATAGTCTCGCAGCCCAGAAAGCCAACCGTATCCTGGCCTGCATCAAAAGAAGCGTGACCAGCAGGTCAAAGGAGGTGATCCTGCCCCTCTACTCTGCTCTCATGAGACCTCACCTGGAGTATTGTGTGTAGTTCTGGTGTCCTCAACATAAAAACAACATGGAACTCTTGGAACAAGTCCAGAGGAGGGCCATGAGGATGATCAGGGGACTGGAGCACTTCCTGTATGAAGACAGGCTGAGAAAGTTGGGGCTGTTTAGCCTGGAGAAGAGAAGGCTGCGTGAAGACCTCATAGCAGCCTTTCAGTATCTGAAGGGATGCTGGGGAGGGACTCTTCATTAGGGACTGTAGTGATAGGACAAGGGGTAATGGGTTAAAACTTAAACAGGGGAAGTTTAGATTGGATATAAGGAGGAAATTCTTTACTGTAAGGGTGGTGAGGCACTGGAAGAATGAGTTGCCCAGGGAGGCTGTGAATGCTCCGTCCCTGGTGGTGTTCAAGGCCGGGCTGGACAGAGCCTTGGGTGACATGGTTTAATGTGAGGTGTCCCTTCTCATGGCAGGGGGGCTGGAACTAGATGAACTTAAGGTCCTTTCCAACCTTAACTCTTCTATTCTACCCACATGAATGGATCTGCGGATGTAGGCTTGGCTCACAAAAAGCTGCTGTGCTAACATGTGCTTAAGGCTTCATGAAGCGCTGAAATACTGTTTTGACAAGGATGTTTTCCAGAGCCTGGTCCTCTGTTTCCTTAACCTCCCCTTCCATCTGAAAGGAAGGCTGGGATTTTGTGCATTAACTTTTCTTGAGGAGAAGCAACGTGCAACAACTAATCTGAGAAATATCAGCTCTGGCACATGATAAAGGAGAACAGAATATACAGGAATAAATGAGTAGTAAGGAAGAAAACTTGATGACTGCTGTATGTCAGTACCAAGTCATATAGTCAGGGATAAAAACCTGGCTCTTCGGAAATCAAAAGCACAATACTTGCTAAATCACATACCTAATGTCACTGTCAATACTGTGACCAACACATTATTTCCCAGATTCTTTTGCAGAAAAAAACCCAACCCATAGCTCCTCTTGGGAGTATTATTTTATACACAAAGCATATCTGAAAGGAAAGGAATTCATGTGAGTAGAAATCTGGAATACTATTTAGAGGGACTCAAGGCCTTTGAAGAACCTTTATCATTTGAGTTCTCTATGACTACTGATTAGTAAAGATAAGCAATTACTTCTTTTTACATATATATAGGATCTTCTAATTTTTGCAAACTATAAGATCTGTACAATTACCATTCATTTTGCAGATACCTTCCAGCCTTGTCTGGAATTTGTCTCCCATGTGAATTACATCTGTAGAAAGAAGAGAGCTATCAGATTGCAACCAAAACACGTAACAGAGATAAGGAGAAGGCATCCAATATTCAGAACTTCTTGAAGGCAGCTCTAAAATTCTTTGTATTTTATGATTGCCCATGATTTTGGATGATAGTTCAAACAATACGTCCAAAATTTTGCTTGCCAAAGGGTATTTCTTTTGGTTGGGTTTTGTTGTTTTTTTTTTAGTTTAAATATTAATCTCCATGCTGTCAGCTTTGAAACATTGAAGATGCATTAGCAGCGTGTCCAAAATATCAGACAGGCCTTGTAGTAAACACTTTCAAGAGGCACAACGTTGGCAGAAAGCTTTTGAAATTTCAATCCACAAGTAAAATGTCAGTTAAAGGTCTAAAAGACTTGCATGCTGGCATAGATTAACATTCACTTGTCCTTTCATGTGCAAGAAACTGATCACTTTCATTTGCATTTTCAGGTTCATCCACTTCTTCCACAGGGTTCTTTTCTTGCAACCCACTATTTTCTGAACAAGACTCATCATCTCCATTGCTACGATGACCTTCAAGACTGTGTCTGATACCATAGGCAAAGTAAATGAGGAAGCCTACCAAAAGGAAAACAGACAAGTAGTGCATTAAAAAATGGTTAATTATTACTTTCTCTGGCTGAACATATTTTCCAAAGCAAGTTTCTTCAGGTATCGGAATCAAAGCTCATGCTTCAGGTCTTTCCTTTTCCTATGGAAATTGCACTGTATCATCTTTGTGTAATTAAATGCTCTAGTAGGTCATGAAAACTACTGTCTCTAATTTATATCTAGATTGAATTAATACAATTTTCCACATCTTAAAGGAGAATGACTGGTATACCTGTTTGTAACAGGTTTCTGCACCACTTTATTAAGGGAAAAAATGTGGCTTCTTGAATTAGTCCTGTAACTTAGATTCTTTCTATTACCTCAAAACTGTACTTATTTTTTTGGCTGCATATAAATACTACTTCTGAAGCATGTTCTATTTTTGATGAGAAATATCAGCTGACCTTTATTAAAACAGAATTCTTTTCAAGTATTTAAATGAATAGAATCAAATGTCCTAATATGGGATCAGTGAGTTTTAATATGAAAAGTGACTGAAATGAACACAAGTACCTACCAAGTGCCATCCAGAAGCTAAACCTGATCCAAGTATCTCCACTTAATTGTACCATCAAGTAAATATTTACCAGGATACTTAATGATGGCAAAAACGGCACTAGTGGAACCTAAAAGGAAATGTTTAGTACATATGTATTAAATATAATTTCTGGCATGGCACACTTCAGTTACACAACACACACTAGAAGTGACACATCTAATCAGTAAAAAAGAATTGAGGTGGATTTTTTATTGGAATATATTAACATTTTCTTCTTCACTAGGTTTAACAACCCGTTTCTACATATCTTAGATTCTTGAAATACATTATGTTTAACATATATTTTCTAAGACTGTGTAGAAAAACTTTCCAGTTTGTACTGAACATATACTAATGAATTCCTGTTTCTACAACTGAAAAATATTATATATTTTTAATATATCCCTTCCTTCTGAAATGCCTCCCAGCTCCACTGGAGTCCTAGACCTTGACCACTGTACTTTATTATTTCTAATCTTAGAATGTAAATGAAAGCTGAAGATAAAAGGTTTATACTCTGGAGGGTATGAACTGTACTGTGGTCTATGGTATTGCCCACAGCACAGACCAGAGATTGTACACTGATCAGTTTCTGAATCATTTTCCAGTTTCTAAATACTTGAGGTCTAAAACTGCTTGAATCACTTTTGAGGATGTACCTAAAGGAATATCTAGATGATCAGTGCTGTCAGGCCTCCTTGTTATAATAGCAGCTGTTCATATCAACATCAGCGATACAGCCATTTTCTGCAGCCATGCTCCTATGCATGTTATACATTCCATCTGTGGGCAATAAAACCTTTTCTCTAGTCCTGAGAAGGTCTGGACTGGGCTGCACAGGCTCACAATTCAACCATGACCATCCACTACTCTTACTTTCACCAAAAAACCTGAAATAGTGGCAGTGCCCCTCTCCCACTTGTTAGAAGACATCCAAACGTCTCATTAGAATCACATAGAAAATATGTTATTCACCATAAAGGCCACTTTGTGCTGGTTCTGAGGCTGCCTTTGGATGAGAAGAATGGTAACTATGAAGGATGTCATGAACACAGCAAGAAGGCCAATACTCCATAGCTCCAAGTTAGCAATGGAATGATTCATGTATGTAGTGAGGACACTTAAACCACAAACCAAGCAAGCTGTGTGAAGACAAAATGATGAAAATAAGAAAAAGGTCACTTAATCTCTGCATTGATGAGGAAGATAGCTTTAAGAAGAATGATAGCAGGTCTTCAGTACGAAATGTTATTGTGAAAATGCTTAATTAAAGGAAAATATACCACACTACAGATTAGAGCCATCAAGAAGTATAAAAGCATTCTGCAGAATGACACATTAATTATGACTGAAAGAAGGCATGTTATCACTGGATTTTTAATTTTGCCTTTAGTAAAATTCCATTATTTATGTTAATGTATTACATGAGTTTGGACAGCTGAATACTTACCTAACAGACCCACTAAGAAGTTAACTGTAGTTGCAGTTTGCTCAGTAGGTAAAGTGGATGGATTAATCAGCGCCTGAAGACTGAACTGTTTCTCTTGTATCATATTTATCTGTGATTCGCTTACTGCAGATTCCCTTTCAGATGCAGCCAAAGCTGCTTTTTCTGGGGAATATTTTGGTTGCTCATAACTTAAACTGGGTTGGTACCTATGCATAAAACAAAGAACATAGTAGAAAAAAATAAAGCTTACTTTGGGATTTGAAGCAATATGACTCTAGGAGTGTATTTAAATACTAAATTATTGGCAGTAGAGGTTTAGGATTTCCCAATTTAGAAATGCACTGCAGCAGCATATATTGTTAGTCACCATCATATATAAACAAAATATGGCAACTCAATTTTTGCTGGGGCTTGGGAGGTTTTGGTACATTTTTTAAAGCTACATAAAAGCACCAAGAAGTCAGATATATGATCAGTCTCATACAAAAATAGGTGACAGAGTCTGGTGGTCAATGGTAGGGAAGGGGAGGGGGCACCTTTCTGACTTGCTTCATGTACTGTAAGAGGCCCCATAACTGGCATAAACTGAAATTTTACACCTGCCTTGTTAAAATCTAAGTATATTTTTAAAAATATGTTTTAAATAATTCACTATGGAATAACACAGTCTTCTTTTTTAAAGTGTAAATTATTGCAACAATGAATTTGAACTGAATTAAAGCTGCTTCTTAGTGATTGTCTATACACATATAGCTAATTTTTAACCATTGAGCTATCTAGCAAATAACACACTCTGTAAATGTCACTTCTGTGTATATAGTGACCAACACAAAATAAAACACAGTCGAATACAAAAGGATGTTTTTGACTCACCTAAG